AGAATGGAAAGGAAGTCCTATTGGCCAACACCATGACTTAATCCCCTTGAGTGTTTCCAAGACTTGTCACAACATGGTTATTTCTTATCTGAAAAGGCTGCGATGGGGATGTTTTCTTTTGCCTTTCCAGCTCGAGGACATCCCTGTCCCATTTGTCTCCATCCAAAAGGCTCAGTGGGTTTTTAGACACCCTGGTGATAAGGAAGAATGAAATGTCATTCAGCACCATGGGATGACGTGGATGCAGATGTTCCTCAGACCTCAAAAGTGATACTCCCCACACTGGGAGCCACCACTTTGGAGCTGGATGACGTTTGGGACACCCATCACCGTCTCTTTGGGATCCCTCCATTCACCTTTGATTTAATGCCTGTTTCTCTATCTGCGTTGCAGGTGAAGTCCAGCTCACAAACAAGGACCCGCGGTGGGTCGGAGCCTGGTGGTTGGGTTTCCTGGTCGCAGCCAGTCTCGTGGCCTTGTCTTCGGTGCCTTATTTCTTCTTCCCACGGGAAATGCCAAAAGAGGTAGGAGAAGGGCTGCAGATTCCCTTTTTGTATTGCACACAAGTACCTTGGGTATTCAGGACGATGCTCATTCCTCCATCTCCACCACCATCAGCTGCTGTGTCTGTGGGAGGCATGACTATGGAAGTGGTTGTGATGTTTATAGCTGCATCCCAAAGTCAGTTGTGAGCTCTGGTTTAGTCTCACCTCCTGTGTCAGAGGCTCTTGTCTGAGCAGATGCTCAGTGAAACCCAGCGTAGTGCAAGCAGCTTAATGGATGGGATCGTTTCCTTGCTGGGGCACTGGAATAGTGCCTGTGTGTTGATCACTCTGCATGGGTTTGAGAGGGCTTGGAGCAACCTGCTCTAGTGGAAGGTGTCCCTGCCCATGGCAGGGGGTTGGAACTGGATGAGCTTTAAGGTCCCTTCCAACCAAATTCCATAGAATCTGTGATTCTATGAGCAGTCTGTTTCCTTGGCGTGTGTGACCATTTCCACTGTGATCTCTTCTCTGGCCAGCAGGACTTTAGACACTTCCCATCCCCTAAACACCCTGGCTCTGTAAAGTCCTCAGGGATAACTGGTAGGAGAAAACCTTTAGCAGCCTGAGCATGTTATTACAAGCCAAGCCAGCACCTGTCTGCCTGCAGTTTGCTCCTGGTGCAGCCCTTGGTGGGGCAGTCCTTTACTCCAGGTTTACTGCCAGGGTTTTACTTCTCTGGAGCCCTCCTGGGTGCTTCAGTGCTCACACCAAGCTGCAGAACAGCCCATGAGGTTCCCAAGCGCTTCGCTGGCTGCGGGTCCCAGCTTGTCATGAGGAATAATCCAAACCAAATTGCTCTTTTAGAGGAGGCATCACGCTACGGTTTGGAATGTTACTGAAGCTGCTGAGGCGCGCGCAGGAGGTGAAATTGCGCTCAGTTGATACTCCAGCCTCTGTAATTGCCTTTCACATGTATTTTACCTTGGGGCAGTGTCGAAACTTTCTTGTCTAAACAAGCCCATGCACTGCCTGGTGCAGAATAATTCTTCATTTCTGCTTCTGCTGCTTGAATTTCCACAGGGATGAGTGATTCTTACAGAGATTTGGGTTTCACCTGCCTGGGAGAGTGTGACTTGTTGTACCAGCTACGCTTCTGGGGATATAGTAATCTGCTCCTGCCTTATGTGTGCTGTGAGGTTTGCAAAGATGCTGTGGTCCTGCAAGGCAATGGGGTGTAAACTGAGTTTACAGGATGAGAGTGAACCTGCTTTATCCTCGTGAAGCTTGGTTCACTTTCAAGTCATTTCCAGATGATCTGTGTTAGCAGAACACGCTCAGCGTACAAGGGTGGCACCGTGCGTCTCAGGAGAAAGGTCCTTTATTAGGGCTGATGGCAATATTAATTTCATAAATGGCTCTTGAAGGAAAATAATGTGCTTTGAACTAAAACAACTGCACTTTGATTTTGTGCAAGTGCTGCTCTCTGATCAGTCTGAGCAGTTGTGAAGAGTTTAAGGGAAGGATTGGTTGAGTATTGGTTTAAAAAGGCAGCAGGAAGGCTTTGAAGTGGCTAATATTCATGGAAGTGCTTCCACATGGCTGAGTGCCCATTTACCCCTTTGCAGCCTGGGTCTGCTTGAATTTGTCCCCTTTTTACTATTTCCCCCAGGAAGCTTTTGGAAACTGCAGTAAAAATAGTAATGGGAAACTAATGAAGTGATGGCAAAAATCTGCCCTCTTGAAGGGTGGGAGATGCCAGGACCAGCCAAGCTGGGTCATGCCCACACCATGGGGGTACCATTGCTGGAGCAGCAGCAAGGGCTGTGCTTAAGACAATAAAGGAACCCAAAAAGCCTCTGTAGAAATGTTGACAGATACTGTTCTGTGTAAAACATCTGTCTGCTGCAGAAGCACTCACAGGAAATCTGCACTATTGTGGGTGATTTTCCATAGGTATTGAAGAGTGAAAGATAGAAATCATTTTCCCTTGCTTGCCCTTGGAGTAAATCAATGTTTGCTAAGGGTATAAGCACGACTGTTTCTCTATCATGAAGGGCAGCCCCTTTCCTCTCCAGTGAGCTGGAGGCAGCAGCATCTTGAAGGCCACTGAATTACTGCACCTGCCGCTGAGCTTGTTAGAGCCTCCAAAAGGGCATCGGCCCGGGATATATTGCAACACCCCGCAGGAGGGGTGGGTAGAGCTGGTAAGACATGCAACTAGAAAGGAAATGTGTGTCTCCAGGTGTAACACTCAGCTCTGGTAAAGCACCAACCCCAGTGTTCATAGAACCATAGAATCCCGGACTGGTTTGGGTTGAAGGGACCTTGAAGCTCCTCCAGCCCCAACCCCTGCCCCGGGCAGGGACACCTTCCACTAGAGCAGGTTGCTCCAAGCCCCTGTGTCCAACCTGGCCTTG